AATAGATATGTTTGAAAATATATATATATATATCTATATTTCTTTATTAAGATATATTTTTATATATATATATATATATATGGGGCTTTGGTAAACTTAGGAAGTACCTCATGAAACAGTTGCTACTTTCTTTAAAAACAGCATGTCTTAAATAGGCAGTTCTGTTTATCACCCGTACATCTGCTCCTTTTGAGATCTGAGAGAATTAAGGCACCAAAAAGAGTTGACTTCACTGACGGACAGTCAGCTAGAGATGCTATAGAGGACAGCTGATGAGCTCTACAGCTCCTATCCTCAACTTCACTCACCCGAAGAGAAGACTTCTTAGCTTCTTTGGCTAAAGCCCTGAGTAGTCTGGAGGCTTCTGTGTTGTTTCTTGTTGAAGTCATTCCTATCATAGTGACAGTCACCCTTAAGTCAGGCTAGCCCTCAATGTGGTGGTCATTCAAGTTCATTTCCCGCTCCCTTCATTTCCAATGATCAGTAGAAACTGTAAAAATAAACAGAGTTCCTTTGGGAAGGGGGGCCATGTCACCTGAGGTCAGTGGATAGAAGAGTCAGGGATACTGAACTTCGCAGGGAACAGAAAGTGGTCCAAGGCACCTCCGAACGACCATCGTTGGAGGAGGTGAAGGGCGTGATTTTTGGCAAATTTCTCTACCTCCCTGGGCCTCAGTTTCTCTGCAAAATGAAAAGGTTGATGGAGCTGATCCTGAGACTGACTTCTAGCTCTATCGCTCTATGTCAAGAATTCTGAACAGGAAATAAAATAAGCTCTGTCGAAAGGTCTTTTCAAGCCGGCGTACTTTTGGATGAAAAAGTTTCCAAACCGAAGACATACACAGCAGGGTCTGGGTTAAGAGACCTTTGCGGGCCCAAGTGCCGAGGCTGACGTATCATTGTAGGTTATTTCCAACTCCTGGAAGGTACCGCGCAGCACTCAGGCGAGGTTGTAAACGTCAAGGCAAAAACACTTCTCACTGCTGGGTGAGGCTCCTGCTATTCGCTTTTCGGGCATTTTTGCCCTCAGATGATTTCCTTGCTTCTCACAGGGGAGGTCTCCTTCTCTTTATCCGAGGCCATTCCCTATGACAAAAGGAAAGAGGACCTTAATTCAATCGATTGTTTCAAAAAGCTATAAGCCCTGCATCCCTGAAAGTGGTCAAGGCTTTCCAGCCACGTCAGGGGAGCCACAGAGGGGCGCGTATGCTGGCTGGGAAGATGGATGGGGCGGAATTCCAGTTGTTCTCTGCTGCCCTCCAATCTCTATGTTTTAACTTCCCCTCCTAGAAAATGAAATTAGGGATATGTGTCTTTCATACTTTTCAAATGAAAGAGCACCCAGATGGCAAACCAGTAGATTCTTGGCTTTAGGAGAGGATCTTGGCTTTTGTTCCTCATCTGCTCCCCTGCCCCAGACTTTAGGCGGCAGTGAGAATCAGAAAAGGAAGGAGACTTGAGTGGAAAGGTGACAGAGGCTGGGTGGGGGATGCCGCTGAAAAGGTAAAACTTTGGGAACTTCCCTGGTGGTGCAGTGGTTAAGACTCTGCACTTCCAATGCAGGGGTCACAGGTTCGATCCCTGGTCAGGGAACTAAGATCCCACATGCTGCGTGGCAAGGCCAAAAAACAAGGTAAAACTTTGAACTGTGGGTTTATTCGAGTCTGGTGAATGTCCAACAGCCAAACAGAGTAAAGAGTTCCTCTATCCTTTTCCTCTCCATTAACCCCTGGGCTCCCTTTCTCTGCAAGTGTTTAAGCGGAGCCTAAATGAAAATTTGTCAAAAGTGGTGTAGAGATTTCCCAAGCCAGGCAGGAATGGCCTCTGATCCCTTTGGACTTAGAAGCTAGGATTCCTTCTCTCCAGGCTAACAATGTGTGTCACCTTGGTACCAGTCATGGCCCACCCAGGGGCCCTCTGAAGCCACTGGGGGTATCTAAACTTCCAGACACTCTCCTCTCTTGTTCTTCATCCAGGAAGGTATCAGGGGAAGAGAGATTGGAGACCCTTAACGAGCTCCCTCATCCCCTCTTTGGCCACCCTTTCTAGTAATTTCTTCAGGAAGTTCTGCTTCGGTGGAGTCAGCCACTGCCCCAAGTATTATCAAGGGGGCAAAAAAAAAATGGTCCATAGAACCTCACCACATAAAGACAGACCTCATTTGTCACTCCTATACATACATCCTGAATCTCCCAACAGGAAGAACAAAGTGATAGCAAGACTCCATCTGGCTTAATCTTTCTTGAGTGGTGA